TAGATAGGGATACGAGATTTACTCGAGATTTTGGGAAGGTTTGCAAAATGTGTTGGGAATGAAGTTGCGTTTGAATTCTACTTCTCATCCGCAAACAAATGGTTATACTAAGAGAACAATTCAGTCACTTGAGAATATTTTGAGAGCTTGTGTATTTGAATAAGGAAGTGATTTGGATAGTTACTTGACTTTGATTGAGTTTACTTATAACAACAGTTTCCGTTCGAGTATTGAGATGGAACTGTTTGAGGCTCTATATGGTAGAAGGTGTAGGATGCCTTTATATTGGTATGAATCGGGAGAGGGTGTTGTGGTTGGACCTGAGATAGTCAGGCAGACTACTGATAAGATTAAGATGATTCAGGAGAAGATGAAGGCTTCTCAAAGTCTTCATAAGAGTTATCATGATAAGAGGAGGAAAACACTTGAGTGTGAGAAGGGAGATTATGTGTTTCTTCGAGTTACTTCGGTAACGGGTGTTGGTAGAGCCTTGAAGTCGTGTAAGTTTATGCTGTATTTTATTGGTCCTTATCAGATTTCAGAGAGGGTAGGTGAAGTGAATTGGCGAGGGAGATAGAGCAAAAAGCTGAAAATATACAACCATACCAGGAATCTATTAAGACCATTAACCTTGGCACAAAAGAATATCTGAAAGAGATCAAGTTATGGGAAACCTTGGAGAAAAGTGTCAAAGAAAGACTGATCAAGTTGTTACATGAGTATGTGGATATATTTTCCTAGTCTTACAGGGATATGCCATGATTAGATACATGCATTGTAGTGCACAGACTGCCTCTTAAGGAAGGATGCTCTTTGGTTAGGCAGAAGCTCAGAAGAACTCGTCCAGACATGTCCAATAAGATTTGAGAAGAGGTTCTTAAACAATTTGACACAGGATTCTTAGCGGTGGTAGATTATCCACCTTGGATAGCTAACATCGTACCAGTAACCAAAAAGGATGACAAAGTACGCATGTGTGTAGATTATCGGGACCTGAACAAAGCAAGTCCCAAACATGATTTCTCTTTACCTCACATAGATGTTTTGGTGGAAAATACAGCTCAAGCTTCGGTATTCTCGTTCATGGATGATTTCTCAGGTTATAATCAAATCAAAATGGCACCCGAAGATATGGAAAAGACCACTTTCATGACACCTTGGGGTACATTCTATTATAAAGTAATGTTGTCCGGTTTGAAGAACGCATGGGTAACTTATCAATGGGCCATGGTCACACTATTCCATGATATGATTCACAAAGAGGTTGAGGTGTATGTGGATGATATGATTTCTAAATCTCATACGGAGGAGGATCACATCGTGCATTTACAAAAGCTATTCGAGCGTCAGTGCAGGTTCAAACTAAGGTTGAACCAAACAAATATACATTTGGTGTCAGGTCAGGCAAGATACTGGGTTTTATTGTAAGTCAACACAGTATTGAGGTGGACCCCGACAAGGTAAAAGCCATACAAGAAATGCCAGCTCCGAGGGCAGAGAAAGAGGTTAGTGGTTTCTTAGGACGATTGAATTACATTTCAAGGTTCATATCACACCTAACTGCTACATGCAAGCCTATATTCAAATTATTGCGAAAAGACCATACAATGGTATGGAATAATGATTGCCAGACAACTTTCGAGACAATAAAGAAATATTTACAATAAAGCAATAATAATGGCCTTGAATATTCTGACTACAATTCTTCAAATCTATCCACAATTGTTTCCTTTGTTGTAATTGGTTGTGAGCATAAATGACAGTAAACCAGTTAGTCAATCTACCATTTATGTCATAAACCTTGCAGTGAATAAATTGGTCAGAGCAATCAACCATTTTGATGTCAATTTCCCCCATGCTTCCGCAAGATCTAGATCCTGCCATTGGTGGGTTGATCATAATTGTCCAACCAGTTCTAATTATTACCAAAATAATTCATGATTGTATTAGCATTCTTATTCTTGACTCATGTTTCTAAAAGTGCAGTACAAGACACATGTATTTTCTTGAGATGAGCTCCAATTTCAACATGTCTTGGCCTTTTATTCAAGCCCTTCACATTCTAGACCAGCATCATGTTATATTGTAACCAGCCGACCCCGGGCTTGTTCCATAACCTAGGATTGCAAAACCATTTTTACATCCAACTGTGAGATTTTCCACCATTATCTCTTTTCCTTTTTGTTTGATAGTTAACTCCACAATTGTCCAGTCATTCTGATAACTACTTGAGTGTTGCTTTGTTTTGTCTGATATATCTTTTTTAACAATATCATCTGGATGTATGTTTTTTTGTTATTTGGGAGCTCATACTTTCTTCTCTTTTTCAAGTAATTTCTTGGGGGGGTTGTTGTTGATTTCCTTGCATTCATGCCCAACTTTGTTACATTTGGTACAAAAGGGAGATTTTCATCCATAGTGCACCAATTGTTTTGTCATGTCTTCTTTTGACTCCCTGGTGTTGATGTGATTCTTTAATTCTACTATGACATCAATTTCAATTAAAACTCGAACGTGCCTAAGTCTTGGAAAAGTACTTTAGAGATCGAGACAATGCACAAGCAAAAAGGAAAGAGCAGATGATAGCAGAATAGAAAAGACAAAATATCAACTTTCACAACACGGCAAGTGAGTTACAAGACTTTCCTAATGTAGGACGGATGACACTTTCCTAATCTCCGCCAAGAAGTGTCATTGAAAGAACTTTTCCCTTCATCCCGTTCTTATGGGAAAAAACCCCTAACTTTGAAATCTCAAGCAGATAATCTCTACAAAGATCCCATTAAAAGATACAAATTGAGATCTCTAGAATTAACCCTTAAACATTATAAAATTGAGTTTGAGAATAAGTTTAATTTGAGTGTATCTGGATTTTAAAATTCAAATTTGTTTACCTTTGATTGATTTAGCAAAAACGTGAGAGCTTGACAATTTAGATGCATCTGAAGAATGAAATGTGAATTATATGAACATTATTAAATTTTCACCATGGTGAATGAGTAACCTATAGGATGGGAAAAGTAATTCCCTTTTAGAATGGCATATCAGGGTTATACCCAATACAACACCAGATATGTCATCACACTCAATCACTACTATTTTACCAAATTAGTGTCTAAGACTACATATTTGAGAATGTGACTACATATTTATGAATGTGATTCAATCGCTACTTTTATCAAAGTAGTGAGGTTGACTACATATTTGTTTATGCATATATATAGTAGCAAGTGTCCATGTCAATACTTCATAGGTTCATCTAAGATAGATATTAGGCCCATTTGTTTCAACTTAAAAAAATGGATTTTCTTTTTATTCTTGAAAATAGATATTAGAAAAAAGTTTTTAAAAATATTAGAAGTTTTTTTATATTTGTTTATTCAAATTGAAACATTAATTTTGACATCCATAAATATATATATATATATATATATATTATTGAAGATCAAAACATAATCGAAATTATAATTTTTTCAAAAAATTATATTTCAAAAATAATTTTTATAAAAATCTATTTGAAATAGCTTCAAAGTTAAATGATTTTTTAAAATTTTGATATCCAAAAAAAATTTTAATAAGAAGATGAAATACATAAAATAACATTTTAGAAATAATTGTTCAAATTAAATTTCCATTTGAAACTTTTATAAAAAAATATTATAAATTTCTTTTACACAATTATATAATATTATAAAAATTATTTTTAAAAAAAAAACAAAACAAATGGACTGATAGTTAACTCCACAATTGTGAAGGCCAGATTTTTATGCCGTAGATATGAGTAGAAATAGGTCAGATTGATAATAGGAGTCTACGGCCTAATTTAAATAGGTTCAAGTCGACTAAATTTTCTTTTTTAATAAAAAAAGTCTAGACTTTTTTATAAACCTATTTAATTAAAGAGCAATGTTATATAGTAATAATAATTAGAATAAGAAATGCAAGAATGTATATTTATCAGGATAAAATTAAATTTACTTTGAAAATTTAATTTTCTTTTTAATAGGAATTATGAGATAGTAATTGTAATGAATGGTTGAGATTTAATTCTTGTCTTTCTTGCTTTCATATTTTCTTATTAATAAATATTTTCCCTTTTACGTCTAACAATATATATATGAATAGTTTTTTTAATTATCATTATATTATGTTTTGTACTTTGAATCAAATATAAAAATAAAACTTGATTATCTTGAAGAACTTATGAAAATAAGATGAAAACACCTTATTAACAATACTATAAGTTGTTTTCTCAAATTCTCTTGACAAATAATCTCACAAAACTTATGCTAATAAATAAGTTAAAATAAATCAATACAAACAAACTTTTAGTCTAATTGATTTTTTAGTGTTAGTCTATTTAAACATTATTTAAATTTCTTCTTTACATATGTCTAATATAATAAGCTTTTATGTAGACTAATAGGTTAACCAGGCCTAAAAAAGACCAGACTCAGGCCTAAAAATAAATCTATGATCGACTATAGACTTCAATTTTTTTTGACAGATCAGACTTAGGCTTGAGAAAACCTAACTTAGTCCAACCTATTTCTACCCCTAACTGAGATGATAACACAGTTGAAAACTTCATACAGTATTTTAATAAAAATTTCAAAATATGCAAACACAAACTTAGTCCAACCTATTTCTACCCCTAACGAGATAATAACACAGTTGAAAACTTCATACAGTATTTTAATTAAAAAATTCAAAATATGCAAACACAACTTCAAATTATCGTTGCATATAATAAATAGTCCACTACAAAGAAATATTGAGGAAGTACAATTACATGATTATTACTTATACAAAATAGAATACATCGACTCGCAAAAGCAATTTGTATATACTCTAATCACATAAGGGAAAAAATAAATAAATAGTCAAGTACCAGAAACAATGAGGAAGTTTAGTACCATAATTATTGTTGATTCAAAATAAAATACATCCAAATAGCAAAAGCAATTTGTTGTGTATACTTAACCTATTAAGGGTGTGTTTCATCTAAAGGAAGCTCTTCTTTCTCTACCAAACTGCACATAGGAACTAGTTGAGAGTAGTCCTGCAAATCCCTTTGAAAGACAACCTTCAACTGCACATTGGGACTTTGATGAACACAAAGGGCTACTCTGTCTACTAGTATCCATGCATTCTTCAAGTGTGTTGTTCCCTTGTGGATTGTCCTCCTCGCAATCAGCAACACCGAATGATCTACTTCTTTTACAGTTTGACGAATTCATCTCCTCGGATAAATAAGTGTACTCCATATCATCTTTTCTTGCTTCCTCGGCTAACTTCCTCTTTAGACCAGCAAAACTTCTTCGTCCTGTATGAAAACCAAAATCAACGTTACATTTTTAGGGCCTTGGTTGGATAAACAATTTTAGTATATTTATGTATTTGCTAAAGGTCTGTTTGGATAAACAACTTATTTGTAACTTATAGTACAAGTGCTTATCAAAATAAACATTTATGAATAAGCTCGCATAACCTGTTTCATAAGCTATTTTTTTAACAAAAGATAAAATACATATAAATTGTTTTTATATATGTTACAAGTAGTTTTCACTAGCTATCTTAGAGAATTTATAAAAATAAACTCAAAAATATATATAAAAGATGTCATTTTGATAAAGTCTCTCACGCAGTGTCACAAAACTTATGACAGAAGAGAAGCTCAAATAAGTCAATCCAAACAGGCTCTAAATCTATAACAAAAGATAAAATAAATCAATATGTTTTCATATAAGTTATAGGCTATTTTTATAAGCTATCTTGATTGAGTTTATAAAACTAAACTAAAAACAGCTTCTGGACAGGTCGTAAGATGTTTCTATAAAATCATTCGAACAGTTTTATAAGTGATTAAGTAGATTGGCTCAAATATGCCAAATCCAAACTGACTCTAATTATATACCAGAAAGATTGTATTTCCTTATATTAGTGAATGGCTGTAAGTAGTAAATTCAATGAACTAACCAGGAATTGACAGAGATTCAGGATCACCACAGTTACACTGGAAGTTGGAATTTTCATAATACGATCCCGGTTGTCTGCAGGATAAAATCCAATGAGTTCAAATTTATCAAGAAAAAGAGTACCTAAAATTAGGGTGTCGCAAAACATCAAAACTTGCCCCGGCTGGAAAGGAAACCACATACAAGTCACTAATTTTTACTATAAATCAAGACTTCAAAGCACAAAGCATAAAAGTAAACACACTCACAAGCAGCAAACCATATCCAACAATACTATATTCCATTAATTCAACAATACCGCCAAAGATGTTCTAAAAAATTCAAATTTCGGATTTGAAAGGTGATAACCCTAACCAAAGAACCGGGTTTGGCTACTGTTAAAGACATAACACTCCGGATATTTAAAGTTGTTTAGTGAAGGCTTGCGATTAGTTTTACATCTCTAGGCATGGCCCTTCAGTCATGTATGAATAATGCACAAATCTGCTCTTTATGCTGAACTAACTTAAAAAAACTGTTAAAAGATCGGAGTAGCGAGGATTGAACTCCAATAAAATAGATCAAAGAGGTTCAGATATCACGTTGAAAACCAACTCTCCTATTTCTTATTCAATTCAGCGAAGCTTATCATTGGTTTTATATCGATAAGTATGTAACTTCTCCAAATTGCAAGTAACTTATCTTCTTCATTAGCAAGGCTCTCATCACTAACCTATGTAAGTGATCTGAGAGCTCCTTGTTCTTTTCTGTCTGAATTGACACAATTTCTATAATTTTTATGCCATCTATGAAATCTAAAATTCACACCATGACGGAACCCAGGTAGGAAACTTAGCATAAAGTGAAGTGCTACTACTCAGTCATGCAATCAAGCAACCATGACATAACTCACTCTATTTTGATGAACATTCTTAGCTAAATCTCAAGTCGTCAATATCTGGAACAGAGAAATGCCTAAATCTGTAGCAATTCTAGATATTAGGATCAGGAATTCATCAATAAATCCACTAGCATGAAAAATTCAAGAGATTTTTCAAACAAATCTTTAATCAATAGAGGTTCCAAAAATTCAAACAAATACATGCCACCATTATGCTGATCGACCTATTTATTAACCTTGTCCAAAATATGATGAAAGACATTCTACAGAAACCCTCGAAAACTTACATACTTGTCTGTAACGTACTGTTGGAGAATCTCGTGATCCCAGGATAGCACCGCCATCGGCAGGGAAGCCCAACACACCCCTCATGCTAAGCAATATGATCTCTCTAAGCAATGTGGAACTGAATTCACCCCTTCATACCCAATACACTTATGGTGTTGGAGGCTGCAATGAAGGCAACCCAAATGCCGCAATTAAACAGCTAGGGGTGGACCGCAATGAAGGAGGAATTTCCAACAATTGTATTCTCTCTACTTTAGACCAGCCTTTGGCTAAGGAATAAACATAACAGCACTCGCCCTATTTTCTTTACTAACAAAAATCTTAAAAGCATACTTATCAACAACAAAAAACAATCTTATGTATAAAAAAGACAACAGCTGAGAACTGGTTTACATGTTTTTCATGAAATTAACTTACTCAACATTTTACTCTACCTACATGACATCAACCAAAACCAATAAAATGCTTATCGAAGTTGTTAATCGTAGATAGCGTTATTAAAATGATCTCACTATGCCATAGTGCTATAGCATCACTATAGCTGACAATATTTTGTACTAAATAACATATCAAAGAACAATAACTGTTTGTCCAGATTATGCTAGATTATGCTTGATTATACAGTATACCGCCGCCACAGCTTTTATTTAACAGCACTGGTAGTAATTATTAACCAACCATTTAGAATCTTAAAGGATTATATGTATCAATCAATGCCATCAAGCTTCTATCAAAAACAAAATTTACAGCAAATCCAACAGTAATAATTTCATCATCAAAATCCTTATAAGAACTCAAGATGCCTTGTTTGACCATAAAGAAACCTAACCTGTACATATGCTCCACAAAATCATCAATTAAAATAGGCCAAGCACCTGCAAGCACAAAAAAAATCATTGCATCAATTAGTAAAAACATCATGATTACCTCGGCATCCGTTCCAATGCATATTCCTCAAGTAATCATATACAACAAACTTCTAATTTAACCTTCCATTTTTTAACGGTTGGAATCTTTTTTTTAATCAAAATGAAAGTGTTTCCAAACAAAGAAAATCCAAATAGACATGCAGACGCAGCATGAGGAGCAAAATTAATATTCAACCATGCAAGTATTGATGTATTAAAAAAAGCTTTAATGACATGAAGAGGTATATAAAGTACAAATTTCTGCAACTATGTGGCTAATTGTAAACAGTCAACAAAGGGAACAGTACCTTCAGGATCATAAGCATCTAGATTATCACGCGTACACAAGCTGAAAGACAGAACCTGTTGCCATGTATCCTCAGATATGTTGTATCGTTGATTTTTCTAAACAAAAAGTAATAATAGATCAGTTTCCCATAGAAAAATTAAATGAAAATAACAAGACCCTACTAGGTTGTACAGATGGATTGGCCCACAGGTTATATAAAATGGGCGTTTATGATGGAGATTTAAATTAGTTGAGACTTGAGAGAATAAATATCCCTAACCCTAGATCAGGGTTATATAGGATTGCGCACAAGCACAGTAATAAAATATTGCACTAAAAAAATTGAAAAATGAAGAGTGCACATTATCATTGGAAAATTGCCAGACATCTTTTATAAATATTTTTGTAATAACACCATCTGTTGCTTGTGAAATTTAAGTGCTTCAAATTCAACAAAGATGACGAGTTGTATTATTGTAAGCATTACTATACCTCAATAAATTCACACCATGGATGAAGTAGTGGAAACCGCCCATTAAGAACTAATTTCCAAGCAGTCACTGCCTTGCTTACAGCTACAAATTATCAAATTTCAGAAAACAAAGGATAACCAGTGAGTGAGTATACATTCTACTTCACCATTGAAAGGATTAAATAGAAGACTGTACATGAATAATTTATCTGAGATACTTACTGATGTTCTTTTGACCATTTTCGCGACACATGAAGAAAACAAATTCATAGAACCGAGCAAACTCTGAAAGGGTTGCCTAGAGAGAGAAACACGGGAGGTACTTCAGAGAGGAAACAATAAAATGAATGCAATAACTCTTAGCATCCTGCTAGATATTTTTTCTTCTCTCTCCTCATAATATAGAGAATGCACCTCTCAAAATGTCACTTTTGGAGTCTCACTTCTGTGTGTACTTGTAGACAGAAAATGTCATGTTAAACACATATATGCATGACTGAATGTGGTAAGAAAAAGGAAACTGACCATCAAACCCAGCCGTGACATGAGCATTGAAAGTTCATCAAAAATCGTTGCCCTGAAAATTTAACACATCATGAAATTTAAAGTTAGAGAAGAAAGATACCCACTTGATGCAATCTTGGGATTTTATGAACATTTAAATTTCATTAATCTATAAATGGTACAGAAGTAACATTGAGATAAACATGAAAAAGACAACCACAAAAAGGTGGAAACTCCACCGTGGAGAAGAAAAACAAATTTGTTTCTGTAGAAGCATAACTTTAATGCAGACAGTAAATGTAAAGCACAAAAGACTGCCTGGATTCAGCTCATGCATGCCTTCATTTTTTCCAATATACCAAAACCTCAAATTGTAATAAACACAGTTGATCATCACATAAGGTACAAGCGTTGCAAGAAACTAGAGCTTAAAATTATTAAGCTAAAAATCTGATAGATGGCGAGTGTTGGTAAACTCGGACCAACCAGTTTGACAAGTGTTGAATAATGAGAGAATAAGAGGAAGGTTGGATTGAATCTGTGTGTTTGAATTACACATCAGAGCTCATTATATATAATAGGAGGTGAAATTCTGGCTGCAGATACTCAATGTCACGTTCAATGTTATGACACCGTATCTGACTTACTATATGACAGTAAATACAAAAACAATAAAGAACACAGTCAATTGTTTACCCAGTTCAGTGTGCAACAACACCTACTCTGGGGGCTACCAAGCCAGGGAGGAAATCCACTATAAGAGATGTTAATTCAGGAATAAACCAACCAGTTTATCTCCTTCACTTAAGACCTACCCAATGCAATTTCAATCTAAGTACAACTTAAACCTGAGTTCCTACTCACTCCCCCTCAATCACAGCAGTGATACATAAAACAATTTGACTAATGAATTGATGAAGACACTCTTCAAAAACATACACTTGATTAAGCTTCACAGCTTTTTAATCAAGTAACACAACCACTCTTGCTTCACAGCTTTGAGTGATACACAACTTAACTTGACTCTGCTTCACAGCTTTAGTCAAGAAACATTCAAACACTCTTGCTTCAAAGCTTTGAGTGCTACACAACCCTTACAATTAAAAACCTATTCCAAGTCACTTATCACAATGATAATTGCTTGGAGTACAATAATTAAACCTATACAGATTACAAATGATCTTCTGACCAAAAAGGGATTACTTGCAAAACAGCAGCTCTGTTGAATATATAGCAGCTGCAACTTCAGTTAGGGTTTCCACAAAAACCTAGGGTTAATTCCGTTTGACCTTAAGACTAGGTCACAGGACTTTATTAACCAGGTTAGGGTTGAGCTAGGTTAACCCTCAGAAAACGCAGGATTCTGTTCTGGAAAGACTGAGTTATTTTCCTGAAAAAACTCAGAATTAACCAACCTGCAAACCTGTTAGTTCAGGACAGGATGTCTTAACATCTGTTATGACATCTGAGGAACCTGTCAACTGATTTAGGAAAATGTGATCATTTTGCAAAATGCTCAGATACACACTTATAAACATCAGTACCTGAATGACAATATTTTTCTGCAAAGGTACCTAATGAATCAGTACAAGCTAAACTAGAATGTTATGACATCAGTCATGACATTCACACATACACTTGGGTTTTACCAAAAATGCAAGCCAATACCTAAACAACTACAAACTCCCCCTTTGGCAGATTTTTGGCTAAAGACCCTAAGCAATCAGAGATAGATAGCAGCAGAAAGAAATGACTGCAGAAAAATAGAATGTCTAATTGAGCAAGTACTAATTAAGTAAGTACCAAAATATTCTCCCCCTCTTTAGCCACAAATGGGCCAAAGATACATGTTCATAATGATTATACAGTTATCCAAAACAAATAATAAGAGCAGCAGCAGAAAAAAAACTGAACACACTTCCAAACTCCACCAGATATCAGCACCAACCAGCAACACCACCAAACAGCAACCAACCTTTAAGCACTGTCATCAGACTCAGAGGAGCTAGTTTCTTCAATGTTGAGATGACCTTCAGCTTCTACACCTTCTTCCCTTCTGTTTCCTTCATCTTCCTCCTTTTCTAACCTGGCAATTAGGATTTCTAGGGTCTTTTTCCTAGCATCCAGCTCTTTGCAAGTCTCTTTTAAAACAGCTATGACATCAGATGTCTTGGACTGGGTCTTCACAGACGATGTCTCAGCTGATGTTATGACAATATCTGGAGCATGAGATCCCTGAAACAGTTTGTAGTGCAAGCCAAGGGCAGGAGCTCTTTTGCAGGCTGTATCTCTTGCCACAAGGATATAAGGGTATTGTGCAAGGATAATTCCACAAAGGAGGGAGGGAAAGGCGATTGGTCCTTTGACAGCATAACTACCAGCATGCTTTAAAGTTTGTTCAAAGATGTACCTGCCATAGTCAAAAGCAGTCTTGGTTCCCACAGCATAAATAAATCTCCCCAATCCTGTGGAGATAGTTGATTTATGATTTGTAGGCACCCAGTTGGCTGCACCTATCTTATGCAGGATGGCAAATTTCATGCTGAGTTTGCTGGCATTCAGCTTGCCTTTCAAGGGCCAGCACTTCACTTGCCTGGCTGTGATGGTTTGACAAACTTCATTGTCAGTGGCCTCCAGATCAGGACAATCCTCATTTGTTCTTCCAAGAAACTTGTTAATTCCTGATGGAGAGAACTTGACCCTTCTTCCTCTAACAAAAACACTTTCAAAGTCAACTGACCTTCCATCAGCACAATCATTAGACAAGTTCACTACAAACTCCTTGACCAGATTTTCATAACATTTGTTAAATTTTATCACTGTCTTCATCAGTCCAGCATTCTTGATCAGGTCCATGATGTCTTTGCACTCCAAGGCATCATTGTTGAGTTCTCTTTCTAAAGCTATTCTCTTTAAGCAAACATACTTCCATCTGTTTGCATTGTCAGGATGATGGAAAGAGATGTTGTCTGTTGGGACTTCAGGCACTCTAGCAATTTTGCTGGAGGGGAGCTTCTTTCTAATAGGAATTTCTTCAACATCAATTTCAATTTCTGATTTCTCATCAAAACCAGAAGATTCAGATTCTTTTCTCTTCTTTGAAATTGGTTGTTTAGCAGTATGCACCTGGGCCTTCTTCCCTTTTGTCTGAATATTTTTCTCAGCCATGCCTTCAGCCTTGGATTTCTTAACAGCAGGTTTATCATTCTGATTACCTTTTCTTTTCATCAATCTCCTAGCTATGCTAGGGTTTACATTGGCAATCAGATCATTATCTGAGTAATCCTCATCCACATCAATGATAGGTGGATCAGCAGTCTTTTCTGAGGAGTTCTGAATGTTGTCTTTTTGTGTCACAACATTCTCAGAGACATCTACATTCTCAGAGATGTCCACATTTGGGCTTTCTGATTGATTTAAAGGGACAGAAATCCCCGGTACAGGTTTGTTTCCGCTTAGTATACTAGTAACAAGCCTAGCAATAGCTTGATGAACTTGAACTGATCCTTCTCTATTTGGAACAGAAGAAGAAGGATGAGAAGGATTACCAGAGGCTGCAGCTTGAGCTCTTCCTGCATGTCTGGTTCTTAGCTTTTTGACTTTGGCTGGGTCAGTTGCCATCTCCCTGAGAGGAGTGACCTCAAGAACTTCAGATTCTATGCATGTGGTGATTGCTCTAGAGTCGTGGTCAGATGATGAGGATGATGAGGATGATGAAGTCGCCTTGGTTGAAGATGATGTCTGAGACATTTTGATTGACTTTGAGTACCAGTGGCAATTTGAGAAAAATCTTTGATTGAGAGGAGGGAACAGGTTGCAAAGACGAGAGAGGTAGGAGGCAAAAGAGAGTCTTTTCAACTTCTTAAGGATTTTGAAAGAATTGGGAAAGCATATGATTAACCCACTAAAAGTAGACTTAATAAAATTAACTCCTTCAACCCTTGTTTTAAGCAAAATTAATTGCTATAATTTCTCATGTTGGTAAATACCTAACCTGCCCCTCAAGTTTTCAAGTTTATTTCCAACAACAGAAGAATCAGTCAGCTGAAGCTTAAAGGTACTATGTTCCAGTTTAAATGACTTCTTCTCTACAAAGTCAATGTGCTTGTTCCTGTTATGCTGAATAGGGTTTAAGGAAATATTGATTGTATTCAGATTGTCACAACACAATGTCACAACATCTTGTGAGACATTATACTCAGTGAGCATCTGTTTTGACCAGATATTTTGAGAACAGTTATTCCTTGCAGCAACTATTTCCGCACAGAGTTGGGAAGGCATTCTTTTGATATGAATCATAGTTCTGGTTGATTCTTGAATGATTTTCTTTTTGTCCAGTCCATTTTGATGGAGAGTTATAGGAGAGGAGACTTCAAGCTTCATTTCTTCAGGGAAACAGAATTTATTAGACTTGTTATTTCCAACATCCTTGTCAAGATAACTTATGGTTCTGACAACACATCCTTCTTCAAGTTTATTTGCCACATCACAGCCATTATCAACCTGTGGTTTTGGAGTCCTTTTGACTGCTTCCATAGAGGTAGTTCTTTTCATTCTTCTTAGATGAAGATGACCAAGCTTATGTTGCCACAGTTTCATCTCTTTTTCTTCTTTGGTAATTGGACACATAGTGGAGTTATCAGTGTTCTCAGGCTGCCACAAGTAGCAGTTATCTTTGGATCTGATTCCTCTCATTACAACTTCTAGTTTTTCATTAATTACTAGACATTCAGATTTTGAGAAGTTGACCTTGAATCCTAGATCACATAATTGACTGATACTAATGAGATTAGCAGTCAACCCTTTTACCAGCAGTACTTTATTCAGACTTGGAACTCCAGGGCAGTCCAAATTACCAACTCCTTTGACTTCACCTTTAGCACCATCTCCAAAGGTCACAAAACTGGTGGTGTGAGGCTTAACATTATTGAGGAGATTTTTGATTCCAGTCATGTGTCTGGAACATCCACTGTCAAAGTACCAGCCTTCCTTTGCAGACATTCTCAGGGAAGTATGGGCTATCAGGGCAGTAGCCTTTTTCTTCCAATGAGGAGTATGTGGTACCTTTTTGGC